TATTCCATGATATGTTGAGTTACTAACATGAAATGATGTTGAAGTATTAAATGTTTTCTTGCAATTATTAAGATGATAATAAGCCCCTGACCCCAGATACAGCAGAAAAAATGATGATATTAGTGTGGAAACAATGGTATTACCCATTTTCCTGTAGCCCTTGAACCTTTGTACCCTAATCAACTAAGTAAGATTATTAAAAATAAATAAATAATTAAAAAGATGATAATAAGACTTTTATCTTCCATTATGCTAAGGTTGTAGATCACATTTATAGATGGGTGCTTGTTGAACCCTTCTTTCATCCAGGGACTAAACTCCTTTTAGTCCCGATGTATGATTCTTTTAAAGTGCTGTTAGATTTGGTTTGCAGTATAGTGGGATTTTTTGCATATATGTTCATCAGAAATATTGGCCTACAATTTTCTTCTCCTGTGGTACTTTTTTTTTCTGATTTTGGTATCAGTGTAGTGCTGACCTCATAAGGTAAGTTTGAAACTGTTGCTCCTGAGCCTGATGTGGTAACCTAGTGGCTGAATCCTTGCCTTGCAATTGCTGAGATCCCATATGGACACTGGTTTGTGTCCTGGCTGCTCCACTTTCCCATCCAACTCCCTACTATGGCCCAGGAAAGCAGTCGAGGACAGCCCAAAGCCTTGGCATCCTGCACCCACGTGGGAGACCTGGAAGAAGCTCCTGGCTCCTGGCTTCAGAATGGCTCAGCTCCAGCCATTGAAGCCACTTAGGGAGTGAACCAGAGGACGGAAGATCTTTCTCTCTGTCTTTCTTCCTCTCTGTAAATCTGATTTTCCAGTAATAAGATAGAATAAATCTTTTAAGAAATTCCTGTAGCTTCTCCCTTGCCCTGCTCGTGTGGGGTGGAGAACGAGAGGAGCTTGAGAAAATTTCCCGTTAATTCTTGAATGTTTGGCAGTGATTTACCATTGACATCATCGTGTCCTAGGCTTCTCTGACTCGATTCTTGGTTTATTGTTAATCTTTATCAATTTGTTCAGATTTTCTGTTTCCTCGTGGTTCAGGCTTGATAAGGTACATGTTTCCAGCAACTGACCCATTTTTCTTCAAGTTTGTTGGTACATAGTTTGTTCTTAGTCTCACTTAAAATGATCCTTTATGTTTCTGTGGCATCAGTCGTAAATTTTCCTTTCTTTCATAATTTTATTTGAATTTTCTCTTTTTTCTTCATCAAGTTAAAGAATTAGCAGTTTGGTTTATTTTTTTTCCCCAAAACACTAATTCTTAGGCTTTGCTGATCTTTCCTGCACCTTTCTTTGTCTTCATTTTATTTTTGCACTGATCTTTATTGTTTTCTTCCTTCTAACTTTGGCCTTAATTTGTTTGTTTTCATTTAGTATTTTGAAGTATAAAGCTAGATTAAAAAAATTATTTATTTGGGGCCAGTGGAATGGCTCAAATATTTGAGCCATCTTCTGTTGCTTTCCCAGGCACAATAGCAGGGAGCTGGATCTGAAGTTAAGCAGGCAGAATTTGAACCAGTGCATGAAAGATGCTGGTGCTGCTGCTGCTGTCACAACACCTGCCCCCTTCTCTGTCCCTTGTCACTGTTTCTGACTTTGAGTATATTATTTTTTAAAAGATTTTATTTATTTTTATTGTAAAGTCAGATATACAGAAAGGAGGGGAGACAGAGAGGAAGATCTTTCATCCAGGAACTTCCTCCAGATCTCCCACATGGGTGCAGGGTCCCAAGGCTTTGGGCCGTCCCCCACTGCTTTCCCAGGCCACAGGCAGGGAGCTCGATAGGAAGCCCGGCTTCCAGTATTAGGACTGGTGCGCATATGGGATCCCAGAGTGTGCAAGGCAAGTATTTTAGTTGCTAGGCCACAGCGCCGGGCCCACTTTATGTATATTCTTATGTAGGTACAGTTACCCTTATTCTCTCTTGGTTTTCATCTTTATGGAGCATATATTTTATCACTTTCCTTATAGTCTATATTTTCCTTTAATTTTAAAGTGACTCTTGAAGGCAGCAAATAGTTGGATCTTCTTATGTTTATTATTTTTTTTATTATGTTTATCCATTATGTCACTCCGAGTCTTCTGATTGGAGAATTGAATCTAGTTACATCTGCAGTAATTATGGATAGGTAAGAACTTACTACTGTTTGCTCATTGCTTTCCCACTGTTTCGTATTTCTTTTCTCCTCCTTCAGTTGGTTTACTGGTCTACTTTTTGAGACTTTCTACCATTTTGCATGTCGTACGCACCAGCTTTACCCTCCTTCATGTCTGAGAGGACTGACAGCGTGACTCTCTGAGACTTGGTGAAAATCCTCTGATGAGGCTCCTTGGGTTTCTGTTCTGACACGCAGGGAATCAGTTTTGCCAGACCTGCTCACCTGCCTTTGATCATCTACTTTCTTGCTCCCAAGATGGTGCTGCCTCTACTTACTTGATCTTTGTTGTTGTGAATTTGCTTCTTTCCTTCTTTCATTTTTCATGATGCGGTTCCATAGATGCAGGGATTTCCCCTTCCACCCCTCCAGTGCCCCGTCACTGTTTCCCCCATACTGTGGAATAATGAAGTAAATCTCTCTTTATTGTTTTGTGATTGAAATTTGGAAGACAGCAGGGGTGCTGTGTATCCTCAACATGCTGTCTTTATCCTAATCCCAAAAGATATTTGAAAATGTTTTCAGTGCAGAGGTTTCCAGAAAGATATTGTTGCTTTAAGGGGAAGACCAATAGTTGTATGAAAAGTGTTTAAATTTTACTTGCAGCTCAAGGAATAGTTCTAGGATGAGTTAACATCAATCTCTCCTGATTATCATTTTAGTACTTTGTGTACAGAATCCTGGGCATTACATAGGCACAGTTACTCAGAGTGAGCATTTTACAAATCCCTAGGAAGGTTTTATATACCCTGAGAGTTCAAAAGTATTGTTTGTGAAACTTTACTACAATGAAAAAATATACTAGCTATAACAAAATTTTATCTGGAACTTAAGAATCTTGGCACATTTCCTTACTAAAGCATTTTTAAATTCCAGAGATTATCAGATAATAAAGAGAAATCCATAAGTCTTCACAAAAATGTGCCCTTTCCCATTTTAGAAACCATTTATACACACTGGAGCTAACAGATGTGACGTGTAGTTCTGCTGTATTTACTGTGAAGATTTATGAGACTGCTTATATTGAGGATGTTTTAGATGCTCATAGGGTTTTTTTTTTTTTGTAATTAATTTGCAAAAAAGAGTGACAGAGAGGGAGCAGGGTCTTCCATGAGCTGGCTCACTTCCCACATGCCCACAACAGCCAGGAGACAGGATTTATACTTGCATTTGCTGGATTGGAAGTTGAATACTTAGGACTTGAGCTGGCACCCCAGTACGGGATGCTGGCATTGCAAGTGGTAGCTTAGTTTGTGGTGCCCACAGTGCCATCCCCTCATGGTTTTGAGGCTGGTGGTGAGCTTTTGTAGACAGAACATAATGTATCTTTTATATACATGGAGCTACCAGAATGAGAGAGTAGCTTTCTCAGAGGCAAGGGATAGATGGATTGATTACCTGCACAGTATTTTACTCAATGACTTATATGTGCTCAGTAAATGATAAACAAGGTATAATCCATGCTTTCAAGCCATTCATAAACTAATAGCAAAGATCAAGAACTTAGTTGGAGTAGTGAGTGTTTAGTGCAGCGGTTATGAAGTTACCTGGGCTGCCCTTATCATAGACTAGAGCACCCAGGTTTGAGCTCTGCTCTTGAATCCAGTCGTCTGCTAAGATGCACCCTGGGGAGCTGCCAGTGACAGCTCAAGGATCTGCTTCCTATTGGCTACGTTGGAGACCTGGCATTGGGAGCTCCCACCTCTTGACTTCAGGTTGGCACAGTCCTGATTGTTGTCAGCATTTGGGGAGTGAACTAGTGGTTGGAACTTCTCTGTCTTTGCTTGTTGCTCTGCCTTTCAAATAAAGTTAACTTTAATAAATAAGTTAAGTTTAAAAATAAATAAATTGGATAATAATACAGAGATGAACAGTTGTGGAATCTGTTAACAAAGAAAAGGGGCAGCTGGTGGGTTTAGAGTTCTTGCACTTTGGTGTGAATTAGACTCACCTGGAGGGCTTGTTAAACTTCTTTGCCAAACCTTGAGGCTTTGCTGGCTCAGGACAGTGGGTCCAAGAATGTGCATTTCTTGCAAGTTCTAGGTGGTGTTGGTGACACTGATCTTGGGACCACATTTTGAGAGCTACCGGTTTAGAGAGTTGCAAATAGTTGTGCTGGTTGGAGTCTAGTTTGTCCATGTGATGTTGGAGTAGGAAGTTCATTGTGCACATTATGGGAAGCCATTAATAGGTTTTATGAAGGAGAATGCTTTGCCTTTTGGAAAGATGGATTTGGGTGCAGCATCGAGGATGGATCAGTGAAGGAACCAGGTTGAGCACGAGAAAACCAAGACAAGGCAGAAGACAGGAATAAAAACTTGAAATAGGGGTAGGAGGAGGAAAGAGCCTGAGGATTTGGGAGCCAATTGGAAGGAGAAGGGGAGGAGTCTCTGTGGACCAGCAGATTTCTGGTTGTGGGTGTGTGGGGATGGGGGTTGGAAGGAGGGCTGGGGAGAATTGCTAGGAGGGAAGCTGAGTGAAGGAAGCATTGAAGCTGCGATGCCAGCAAGGCGGCCCTGTAGGCAGTTTCACTTGCAGGACGGGAGGCCAGGAGCAAGGTTTGGTGAGTCATCCCGCTTCATCCTTCCTGCCAGGCCGTTTCATCTCCTGTATGGCTGGTTTAGATTAGGCACTGTGTTTATTAAAAAACAAAACAAAAAAAACAAACAAACAAAAACAGTATTAATGTAGCTCTTAAGGGTCTTGAGCAGATGATGCCTTTTAAAATGTTTGCTCAAGGAAACCTACGTTCTGCTTTGATGAATCTGGGGGCAGAGCAAAGTAGGAGTTGAAGTTACGAACCTTCTCACAGTGGAAGAGGTTAGTAGAACCACCCTGTGTCTGGGGCAGTGGCCTTGGATGTGAGTAAGCTTGAAAAGGGCAAGATCACTTGACTGGTTTGCAAGGCCGTATGACCAGCAGCTGAGACTAATTAGCTGGATTGTGGGTTTTTACAGAGCTGCATGCTTTTGAAAGTTGATGGAGCGAACTGCTGTTTCAAAAGACTCTTTTGAAAAACATTTATAAATAGGTCATTCTGAGACGCAGATCTCTCTTTGTCTTAATGTCAGACAAGAATTAACCCTCCTCAAGAGGACATGTGGTTGGAAATCATCAACTATTGAAGTGTTGGCGGCTCCAGTCTCTAACATTTTGGAAAAACACACGAGCATTTTCTCCACCCTGCTAAGGTATGGATTTGTATTTATTCTTTTTCTTTCTTCTTTGTGGTGGCTTGCAGATCCTTAAACTTCATGTGATTGAACACAAACTGCCGTTTTTCTGTGTTATTTTAAGAGTCCATAGTGTTGGTGTGTTTCTTAGGCTTAAACAGACAGGTGCATTATCAGTGACTGGAGACTGGGGGTGAGCACTGACTGAATTCCTCCTTTCTTTTTGTGCTTGATGAAGGGGCATAGATTTTCACGCTCAGAGATGTTGAACAGGCGAGTTGCCTCAGGAGTCACCTGAGTCTTCTCATCCCCTGGGGACCTGTATCCACAAATACCCGCTGATAGGGGTTTTGGTTTCGTATCGTTGGCAGCTTTAATGGAGGGACTGACGTGTGTGATGGGGGTAAGCTGTACTTCTTCTGGGAATTAAAGCTGCCTTCAAGGGAGAGGTAGTTTTGTTGGGGTGGAGAGGGTGCCGTGGTAAAAAGGGAAGGTAGGTGCATGTGCTTTAGAGCGGTGCAGTGAGCTAGGCTGGTTCCGAAGAGCTGAGGAGTGGGCTGAGACATGCCACTGTTCTACTGTCTGTATTGGACTTCACATGACTATAACTTTAGTTGAAGTACCACAAGAGAATACCATAAACTGACAGCCATAACGATTGAGTGACTTCATGAGGTGGCATGTGGTGGTGGTGGTGGTGGGGTGCTGTGGCATAGTCAGTTAAGCCACTACTTGCAGTGCCATTGTTGCACATGGGTGCTAGTTCAGGTCCCACCTGTGCCATTTCCAATATAACTCCATACTAATGTCCTGTGAACACAGTGTAGAATGGCCCAATTGCTTGGGTCCCTACTATGCTTGTAGGGGACCCAGAAGATGCTCCTGGCTATAGTTTGTCTCAAGGCACAGCTATTGCATCATTTGGGGAGTGAACCAGCAGATGGAAGTGTTCTCTTTTTCTCTATCCCTCTATGTAACTCTGACTTTAAAATAAATGAATGTTTAAAAAAAAAAGGGAGTGGGTGTAGAGGTCCGAGGGAGAGTTGTTGTCAGGGTGGCTTCCATCTGTGAAGCAGGCTCTGCTCCAGACTTTCCTCGGCCTGTGGGCTGCTGGCCTCTCCCCACACGGCTTCACCTCATCTTCCTGCAGGTCTTATCTGTGCCCACATTTCCTCTTCTTTTTTAACAATTTGTTGTACATATTTGAAAGGCAGAGTGACACGGAGCGAGGGAGGGAGGGAGGCTAGGAGGGAGGGAGGGAGGGAAAGAGAACGTGAGAGAGAGAGAAAGAGAGAGAATGAGAATGAGAATCTTCTATATGCTGGGTAATTACCCAAAGGCTCCATTTGCCAAGGCTGGGCCAAGTTGACAATGGAAACCAGAACTCCAGTGAAGCCTCCTACATGGGTGGTGGGGGTCCAAGCACTCGTAGACCAGTCTTGCTGTTTTGCAGGTGAGGGTATCAATGCTTAAATGTGCTGAAGTCACTGATTAGTTACTGGTTAGTGCAGGAATCAAGGCATCCTGCAGGCTGTCCTGACTTGAGATGTTGAGTTTCCTTGGCTGCTTTGCACCTGGGAGTCTGCCCAGAGTCCCTTTACCTGCAGTCATTGTGTGTGAGGAAAAGCCTCAGTGAAAAGCTGATATGCTTGTCAAGATTCCTGAGTTCTAAGTGTGAAGCAGAATGTTTGGGGAACGGGGTTATCTCATGCAGTGAAGGTTCAGGTGGATTGAACACAGTTCTAGGACATCATGTTCTCTGCCTTTCTCAATTCTGACCTTGTCCCTTGCAGATCTGGTGTTCCTGACACGACAGCCTTTACAATACAAACAAGTGTCTTTTTTGTCTCCTTTCCTGAGGCTACTGCTGCCCACGAGGTTGCACTGGGGAAACTGCTGGCCAGTAGGATGGCACCATGGCAACCCGGGCTGTGCACGTCAGCAGGTGCCTCTCTGCCCCTGTTTCAGCTTCTGCCTTCTGCAGAATTGAGTGTTCCAGGAAGAAATGATCCCCATTGTCCCCACCCCATTGCTCTTTTTCCTTCTTATGGTTAAAGCTGTCTGTGAGGGCTGCCCATCTTTTCCTGTTACTCTCTTCTTCTTTCATGTGCCCTTGGATCATGCAGAGCCAGATGGAGTGCATGCCCCAGCATTGGTGACAGCTCAAGAGTCACGTCCAGCACATTGAAAGCAGGAGTTGACTATCTGCATGTGTGTGGTCTTTGGCAGGACGTGCTTTTTTGTGTGTTGCCGCTGTGGCTGCAGGCTGTCTCAGCCCAGCGAGCAGAGGTGCAGTGGCAGAGGCTGGGATGGCCGCGGGGCATGGGTGATGGATGAGGCACAGGTACTGCTGGAGCGATGTGCTCCTGTAATGTCTGTCTCTCTGGCGGTGGGGCCACCTAGCTCCAGCCTGGACATCCATCCTCCTCTGAAGGGCCGAGAGCTCTGATCAGGGTGCTTTCTCTTGTCATCTTTATTGCATATGCTGTCAGAGACCTCTTCTTGCTGATGCAGTATGAACAGAGGTCCTTCTGTCATGCCCTTCACCTTCAAAGAGCCACAAGATCTCCTGTCTTGGCAAGAAGGATGTGCATCCAGCCTTGAGTGTGTGCTGTGTGCTTGTGTGTGAGGGACGGCCTGCTCAGCTCGGGCTCTCTCTGTGGGAAGGTTCTCCTGCCCCATGTCCTTGAATCACTCGTGCTGGTCCTTACATCCTGACTTCCTCTTCTTCCTAACTGTCCAACTCGTCTCTCCCAAGACCCCAGGAAATGAAACTGTGTGGATGACTCTAAATGTATGCCCATGTTCTTGGGAGCTCTGGTGCTGTTTTCCAAGTGCCAGTTAAGCACTACTCCTGGGATGTTCTTCAGACACGAAGAATATTCAATTTATTATGCCCTATACAATGAAAATAGTATTTGAGAATATGCCTGGCTTCTAATCTTGGTCCTGCCATTTATTTCTTAACCTTTATGTGTATCAGTCTTTCAAATGATTTCCTTATTTGAAAGTAGAGGGGAGAGGTCAATATTGTGGTACACTGGATTAAGCTATAGCCTGTGACTCTAGCATCCCATATAGGCACTGACTTGTGTGTTAGTTGTTCCACTTCTGATCCAGCTCCCTGTTAATGGGCCTGGGAAAGCAGAAGATGCCCCAAATATGTCAGCCCATTGCTCTCATGTGGGAGACCAAGAAGGAGCTCCCAGTTCCTGCCTTTGACTTGGCCCAGTTCTGGCTTTTGCAGCCATTTAGGGAGTGAGCCAGTGGATGGGAGATGGCTCTCTTCTCTAACTCTTCATCTTGTTCTGTAGCTCTGCCTTTCAAATAAATGAAATAAATCTTAACCAACCAACAAAAAAGATTCATTAAAAAAGGAAAAAGACAAGCCACAAACAGGAAGAATATTTTGCAGTGTAGGTGACTAACAAAGGTTTAGAATCCAGACTATATGAAGAATTCCTATGCATATGTAAGAAAGTGGCAGCCCTGTGGAAATGCAAGGCCCAGGATGTTACCAGAAATGCCCGGTGGGTTCTTTCCTCAGCTTAGTATAGAAATAAAAAGCCGGGAATCTGTTGCAAACAGAAAAGTTTATTTGCGAAGGGACCAGGGAGCAGGGAAGGGAAGGAAGGGGAAGCACCTCCGGAAAAGAAGCCGGGAGGTGGGGTGCTCTCAAAAGAGGAGGGAGAGAGAGACACCAAAGGTTTGAGGAAGGGTCTAGGGGTTTTAAGCCTTCCTTGACCCCTCCTTGTTGGGCGGGGAACCTATAGGTGAGATGTTCCCCATTGGTGGTCTCTTAATTAGTTAAGAAATGGGTGGGCAATGCTGGTGCCACCCACCTGAAGGTGTGGCCAAGACCTCAGAGGACCTGGATGGTCTCAGTCCCCCCTCTTGAAATCCCACATCCTACTTCTGTAGGGGAAAAGGGGCGACGATGTCTTCTGGCTGCTTCCTGCTGAATTGGGACGACGTTTGGGTAAGGGGCCCCTGAAGGTGTGGGATCCAGAGAGATGGTCCAGGTCATCCAAGTTGCCATGGCAGAAGTTGGTCTGGTTGTCACACAAGTTTGCATGTACAAGGCCACCTTGAGTCTGAAGACCCCTAATCAGGAAACAAACATAAGACAGTTGAGGAGCCAGTTGCATGCTCTATGTAGAGCAGGAGCCAACACAGATGCAAAGGGCGTCCATAGGCTAATTTTTCAATGAAAGTTTAATACAGGAGGCCGTGGTGTAGTAAGTTCTGATGCTCAAAGGAATCTCAGTATCTAAGGTAGCAAAGACTGAAATATCCCTGTTCAGCCTCCCATTTCCTGCGCCATGCTAGTTCTGGGACTCCTGCCAGTTCAAGTATATCCTGGTTTTGCACTGGGACACACTCGTCAGAATAGCATGTGCTGGGAGTACTGAAATGAGGATACCTATGACTAGCCTGTGGCATCCAGGTGTGCACTGAAGACCACAGAGGAAGGAGACAAAGGTGAGATCAACACACCTGACTCACATTGGATCTACCTTCCACGCCTTTGGGACATCTCTATCAGAACAGCTTGTGTCTAGGAGTGAAATTCCGCTCCTGTTCCCTGCACTGTGCTAGACCTAGGCTTTTGTCTGATAACCTTAAGTTGACGAGCCTGCTCAACAATGGGCCTGATTCTATAAGCCTGCACTAATAACGTTCTTAGTTAGGGCCCCATTTTGTTAGTTGCAATAACAGTATCAGGTGACAAGATGTGGGGGAGCATATAGGAAACACTTATCTGTTAGGTGCCTTTTTGAAAAGCAGCTTTAAATCCTCCAGAGTATCCCAGGTTGGTTCTATAGAATCTGGTTGACCTTAGACCATAGAGTCAGTATCTACCCCAGGAGGGAAAATGACCTTGTACATCAAGGGCAAAGACTGAGCCTACAAGGACCTTTACCAATATCTCATCCCAACAAAGGGACAGGTGCAGGAGGAATAACAAGGAAAGAGTGGTAGAAGTGGAGATATCCCCAAGTACAAGCCCACGGCCA